ATGGCACGGGTACGGTGGCGGAGCGCCGACGCCAGGAAAGCGAGAGGAGGCCCTCTCCCACCCCAGGTCCTACCTCCCTAAAACCTGGCTCCCCAAAGCCCCGGCCCGGGTCAGAGATCACACCTGCAGCGGCAGATCTGATCGCCCTGCTCCGGGATCCTTCGGTCCCTCCGAATCCGCCGCCACCATAGAGACGACGCAGTACGCACGGCCGCCGGGCGGGACGATGGGCCCGAACGTGCTGCGCGGCGCGGTTGCTGGGGCAACTGTGGGCGGGGCGAGCGATCCTGCGGGCTCGGGGGTTGCCGAGGCGACGGTTAGGCGGCGGCGGCCGGGAAGGCTGAGCCTCGGAGGTGCGGAGACATCCGCGTCTCCACAACCGCGGCGGCGATGTCGCACGAGGGCTCGGTGAGCTTCGGCTGGGGTGTGGCGGGGGCGGGGCCCGCTGCGCGCCCCCGGAGCCCCTGCTGGCACCCGCCCACTGGCGCGGGCTTTCAAGATGACCGGGGGAGCCTCGTCCGTAGTGGGCGGAATCCGTACACCTGCACCTCCACGGGCTTTGTCACAGCCGGTCCTCGAGGCCAGGATCACTGCGGGGCTTAGACGTGGGACCAGAAGTGAATTCGGAAACAGCTAGTCCCTGTTAATAGCTCCCTCACATTGAAGCACCCGCTTAAACGGATAAGCCCGCGGTGTAGGGAGGAGTGTTGATAGAGCCGTCATCCGTGCCAGAAATTTCAGGAGGAAAAATGTATTAAACAACTCTGAGACTGCACTTGAAAGGGAAACTGTGCCAAAGGCAGGGATTTTTTTTTCTATTTAACTTTATTTCTTTATTTATTTTAACTTGACCAGAGAGGGACAGAGAGAGAGAGAGAGAGAGAGAGAGAGAAAGCAAGCCACCAGGTCCGGAACTTGAACCACAGTTGACCATGAGGGAGGCCAGCGCCCCTAACCACCATGCCACCTACCAGCCCCAAGGCAGGAAATTTTAAAATAAAACAGATTGGAAGAACTTTTGCCCTAAGATACCTGTCCTCTCTGGTCAGGTCCCTTGTAGGCACAGTCGTCGTCATAGGTGTCAAGTGAGAGGCTAGAACTCTCCTACCCCTGTCTTGTCTGTGCAGCTCTGGCCAAACCTGGCCTAGGCTGTGGGCCACTCCTGGGGCTCACCGCAGGACGGTTCTGGCTGGTGGACAGGGGAAAAATGAGACCCAAAGGATTTTGAGTTCAGTGTGAGGTTTAGAAAAAACCAGATTGAAAGGGGGATGGATTTTAGGGAATATCAGCTCTCAGACAATGATATGGAGGTAGGGGAGCCAGCGACAAAGGTTTGAGAAGATAAGGAACAAGGTTCAGGAAGGCTCTGGGGAAGTGAAGAGGTTCCCAAAGGACTGTTGGTAAATTCCTATGTCCCTCAAGTGAGTTTTGGGGTCTAGGTTTTTTTCTTTTTAATGGATTTTTCTTGCTTGTAAATTGATACTCTCTGTTGTAGAGAAAAGCATAGCAAAGAAACTACCCACTGTTGTCATTCTGCTTTTTTTTTTTGGAGAGGTTTTCGCTATTCGCCAGACAGAGACATAGAGACAGAAAGTGAGAAATCACCCCCCAGGGGGGATGGTCTCGCCACAATCCCTTCTCCTCCATTCTCCTCTCGGGATCTTGGGCACGCACGCACACACACCCGGTGTGAATTTTAAGCCACCGGGTTCGGGATGCGAACCGCGGTCGACTACGTGGGAGTCCAGCGACATAGCCATTACGCTAACTGCTGGTTCCCTCATTCTGCTTTCTTTTCAACACATACGGGTTGGTCTACATGAGATCATAACTGATACGTAATTTTGTGTCCCATTTCATTCACTTAACAGCATCATAAGCATTTTGCTGAAGTCTCAAATGGCTTTTCTTCTTTTAATTTTTTCATTTTTAAAATTTGTATTATTATTATTCAGTTTTGCCGAGAGTGAGAGAGCCAGAGTGAGAAAGCAACTGCCAGGTCTGGGACTTGAACCATGGTCAGCCATGTGGGAGTCCCACACCTTAACTACCATGCTATCTACTGGCCGCAGTTTTACTTTTTAAAGATTTTTTTGGTAGAATTATTTTATTTAACCTCTTATTTATTTATTTATTTACTTGAAATTGGCCAAAGAGGAACAGAGAAAGAGAGAGAGAAAGTGAGAAAGCAAGCCATTAGGTCCAGGACTTGAACCACAGTTGGCCATGTGGGAGTCCAATGCCCTTAACCACCACGCCATCTGCAGGTCCCCTGGTTTTTCTTCTGTTTAAAAAATTTTGCCATTGCAGATTCTTCCTAAGATTACTTTTAACTGTTGCATAATATTTTATCATGTAGAAATAGCTTAATTACCCATCTATTCTCTTTTGCTTAGATGTGTGTTTAATAATTCTACTATTACAAACAACAGTATGGAGAATATGTCAGAGGACATATTCTTATCTTTATTTCAGAATATGCCTTTTGGGTAGATTTCTAGAACTAACATTGCAGTGTCGAAGGACTAAAAACATTTTGAATGTTCTTGGTAAATACGTCTGTGTGACTCCAAAAATACTGGTCCAGTTAATATTCCCATCAGTGTGGTGTCAAACTATGAACTTAACCAAACCTTTGCCAGCATTGAGTGTTCTTATTTTGAAAATAATTTCCAATTTGATGAACTAAAAATTATAATTTCAGTTAAATTGGCATCTTTTGATGTCTTTGAAGGTCGGAGCTCTTCACAGGTATTTATTTACTCATCATCTACAGTTCCTCTTTTGTAAAATGTTATGTCCTTTGCTTATCTTTGGGATCTCAAATGGTTTCCCTTCCTTTTTTTAAGAGAGATTTTTTTTTTTTTTGCTATAGGGCGCATGCAGTCGCTGGAGAGATACAGAGAGACAGAAAGTGAGAAACCATCCCCCAGGGCGGATGGCTTCACTGCAGTTCCTTTTTCTCCATTCTCCTCTTGGGATTTTGGGCACGCGTGCACATGTACTGGGCATGACTGGACTCGAATCATGGTCTACTATGTAGGAGTCCAGTGATGTAACCATTACGGTATCTGCTGGTCCTGGATTTTCCTCTTTTTGAAAAATTTTGGCAGAGGCTGTATGTACTCATTGGAGAGAGAGAGAAGGAAAGCGAGGGAGAGATAGAGAACCCTCCCCATGGGAAATGGTCACGCTGCAATTTCTTCTCCATTTCTCTCTCCTTTTGGGATCGTGGGCATGCATACACAGGAGCCCAACATATTCTTCAAGCCACCAGGTCAGGACTCAAACCATAGCACTGCCATGTGGGATCCAGCCACTTTAACCACCACACCATGGGCTAAACAGGCTCTTTTTTTTTTTGAGAGAGAGATTTTCGCTATAGGGCACGTGTGCTCGCCAGACAGACAGAGAGAGACAGAGAGACAGAAAGTGAGAAATCCCCCCCCCCCAGGGGGGATGTTCACACCGCAATCCCTTCTCCTCCATTCTCCTCTTGGGATCTTGGGCACGCACGCACACACGCCCGGCGTGAGTTTTAAGCCACCGGGTCCGGGACGCAAACCGCGGTTGACTACGTGGGAATCCAGCGACATAGCCATTACACTAACTGCTGGTTCCCAGGCTTTTTTTCTTTTATGTGAGTTTTTCATATATTGGGGGGATTTTTTTTTCATATTTATCGCAAATAGTTATGTTTGGGAGGCAGGATGAAGTCGTCCTGGAGTCGGGCAGACCTGTGTATGAATTGACACCTCTAATTCCTAGTTTTGCGATCCTGGGCCAACTAGTGTAGAACAGATAAAAGTATACGTAGAAAATGTAGGGGAAATTCTAAATAACACCAACATTTTCAACTCCATTTATTGGCTCATCTCTCCAAAGTCTTTGAATTCTCAAAAACTTTGAGCACTGCCTTACCTTAATAGTAAGGACTGGGACCAGCAGATGCGGTTCAAATCTGGAACCCAGAAGCTCAAAACTCATGCCAGGCATGCGTGCCCAAAATCTCAAGAGGAAAATGGAGGAGAAGGCATTGTGGCATGGCCATCCCCCCATAGGGGATGATTTCTCGTTTTCTGTCTCTGTCTCTCTGGCGAGCTCAAGCGCCCTAAAAATCGCTCTAAAAAAATGGTAAGGATACTGAAGTTGGAGCGTTATGCAGCCCGGGCTTTCTAACTGTGTGCCCCCAAGAAAGCGATGGTTAATGTCTGTCAGCTTTCAGTTTCTGTCTGAAAAATGGGCTTAGGTAAGCTGTCATGAAAATTAAACTATCTAGGCCAAACACAAGAAAAACATCTTTTGGGGCCAGCAGCAGATGTGGAAGTTAAGGCACCTGTACCCCACTATGGCTGACTATGTGGTTTGAGTCCCAATCCTGCACCTTGAAAAATCACACAGGGCTCGTGCCCAAAATCCAGAGAGGAAAATGGAGAAGGGATTGCCGTGTCCCCCTCTCCCTGGGGTGGGTTCTCACTACCCTCCTCTCCAGCCAGAGCACACACTCAATAACAAACTTAAAAGAAAAGCAACTCACATAGCAGGGTCTCAGGAAATTGTCCCTTTCCCTTCTCCTTCCTAATAAAAAACTTGAGGAAGCTTTCTGCTAAGCGGTAGCTGTTCCTGCCCTGACTGCCCTGTTCCATTCCCACAGAGGCAGGAGAGGCAGGTCCGAGATCGCGGGGTGACCAGATCCAAGGCGGAGAAGGTGCGGCCCCCCACTGTGCCGGTACCACAGGTGGACATTGTGCCCGGGCGCCTTAATGAGGCAGAGTGGATGGCGCTCATGGCTCTGGAGGAGGGCGAGGACGTCGTGGGGGACATCTTGGCGGATCTGCTGGCTCGAGTGATGGACTCCGCCTTCAAAGTCTATCTGACCCAGCAGGTGGGCCTGGATTTTGGGTCTGCAGACCAATCTCCTTCCTCTCCTGCCCCTCCTTGCTGCCCTGAGACCCTCTCTCGCCTCTGCAGTGCATTCCATTCACGATCAGTCAGGCCCGAGAGGCCATGCTGCAGATCACCGAGTGGCGCTTCCTGGCTCGGGACGAGGGGGAATCTGCAGTAGCCAAGGACCCCACGTGGGGTGAAGACGAGGAGCCCTTGGCATGCACCACGGACTCCTGGGCGCAGGGCTCCGTGCCGGTGCTGCACACGCCCGCTGCGGAGGGCATGGACGAGACCCTCCAAGACGAAGTAAGACCAGCCTCCAGCCTCTCTGTCTGGCGACCCCCTCTGCATAATTGGACAGCCCCTGGAGCCTCTCGGGACTCCTCTGCCCAGAATAGCTCTCTTCCTTTTCCTACATCTCATTACTCTGATGGTTTCCCCAGGATCCTTTAGGAAAACCGTGGATAGAGAGAGACTCCCAGGAAGAGGCGGAATCTCAGGAGCTGAGAGTCACCCCAGGCCCCGTGCCCACCGCAGAGCTGTTTCAGGAGGCAGAGCCCGGAGGGTCTTTCGAGGAACCGGTCGACCAGATGAGGGACCCACCCTCGTCGGCCGGGTCCTTGAGCGCCTGCTTCCAACCGTGTGCGGAGGGAGCGCCTGCGGACAGCCCTCCTACTCCTCCGGAGCTGTCCCGGTTAGCCAGTCCCCAGGCCTCGACCCCGAGTGGGCAGTTCCTCAAGTCTCAGTTGTCGCTCGAGGACCTCCGCTATTGCACGTCCCAACCAGACGCGGCTGGGGACCGACCGGAGCTCAAGACTGCGGGAGCGCCGTACGTCGCCTCGGGGGTGTCGGCATCCGGCACCTCTCTGGGCGACCCCACTCAGATCAGCCCCTCAGCGTCCTTCCAGTCGCAGCAGCCCGGGGGCTGGAATGCATGGCCGAGGACGCCTCACCCCAGGCCAGGTCGCAAGCCTACGGTGGCTCGTCTGGACCCCGCGCGACTCCCGCGCCACTGGGTGCGCCCCCTGGCGGAGATCCTGATCCCAGACGATGCGGGGCCCTTGGAATCTTACCGCTGGCGCCCGCAGAGCGGGAAGACCGAAGGCCGGGACACATCCCTAGGCTCAGACGCGGCCGCCCCGGTCTCCCCTGAAGCGTTCGTGCCTCTTAGGCTCGGGGTTCCTTCCCAGCGTTCCTTGGTCAATGGCTCCGGACTGCAGTTCCACACTGTAAACTTAGGCCTACCGTCACCACCCTTCAGGTCCAAGATCCCGTTCCCCAGCTCCGGGCTCCGCTTTCTCGCCACGCACCGGGCGCTCCCGGCTCTGCCCCACAGCTCCAGTCCCAAGCAGTGGCCCAGCGCCAAGTGGCCCAGAGGCTGGGAGGCCGAGGCCGAGCAGTTGTGCGAGCTTTGGGCCGGCCGCACGCGCGTGCCCCCGCAGGGCCCGAGGCCCACTGAGGAGGGCCAGGGTGCACGTGGGCGGGCCGAAACCCCACCCCACGTCCTGGCGCCCACGTCCCAGGTGCTCTGGAAGCCTTTGCTGCTGCCAGAGGCCGTGAGGCTGACTCCTGGTGTGAGCATGTGGAGCCCAAACGCCCAGGTGCTACTTAGCTCGGCTGTGCCCCCACAAGAGAACAAAGACGGCTCCTGTTCGCCCTCTGAGCAGCACCCCATCCAGACCAGTGCTCCCAGGCCCCAGGTGACCATGGCGGAGCTGACTGGAAACTCATCCCTCAGAGCCTGGTTGCTCCCCTCCAAGGCCTCGCGCCAACCTAAGCCCTGAGCCTCTGGCAGCGAAAGCTGAACTCCTCTCTACCTGCCTGCCAGAAATAAACACCTGAGTCACCTTAGGAATTGGTCTGGTGTCTCTGTTGAGTTCCTCTAAGGATGTCTGTCTTCTCACTGAACCTCAGGAGGAGTGTTGTCTCACAGGCCTGGAAGAGTATAGAACGTTGGTATTAGGCGAGCCCTGCCACTCAGCTTAGGAGACTGCTTTCCTGCCCAGGCCGGTCACCAGCAGGGGCATTCTGGAGAACCCTGCTTCCAAAGGAGCAGAGGCAGGGCTACAAGTGAGGTCTGGCCCTGGAGGAAGCATGCATGGAGTCTCCTTCCAGGAGGGGAGGGAGGGGAAGGTCCTGTCTCAGCACAGAGTGAGTCAAGACATGAGGGCGTTGATCCCTTGCTTCCTTGGTCCCTGGAGCTTGATCAATTCAGCTTGGCCTGCAAATCCAAGTGTTACTTGTAGAGACAGATTCATGCCTATGCAAAACTCAAGGAAACCCTGACCCTTTCGATCTCTATCTTGTGGCAAGGAGGAAGGTGCCTAAGGTGCAAAATGATAATTTTTTAAAAGACTTATTTAGCTTTATTTATTTATTTTAATTTGACCAGAGAAGGATGGGTTGGGGAGAGGGAAAGTGAGAAAGTAATCTGCCAGGTCCGGGACTCAAACTGCGGTTGGCCATGTGGGAGTCCAGTGCCTTTGACCACCACGTCACCTGCCAGCCCTGACACAATATATGTATACATCTATATATATATACATATATATGCATATATATATATACATATATATAATTTTATTTTATTTATTATTTTAAAATTTCACCAAAGAGAGAGTGGGAAAGTGAGAAAGCAAGCCACCAGGATCAGGACTCAAACTATGGTCTACCATGTGCCTTAAACACCACACCTGACTTGCCAGCCCCAAGAGGCAAAATTGTAAAAGGCATTCACGCTCAAGTTCTCACTGAACAAACCCAAGAATGAATGTCGCCTTACATTCTGTCTCCCTCTCCCTGGCTATAGCACACCTAGCAGCAGGCTGGCAGTCTCTGTGGGCTCCATGTAGCACCCTGGTTTGGAGAGTGGGCTCTGTCCTATTCTGTGGGAGGCTGCGCATCAGCAAGTCTGCCGAGGTTTCTCAGAGAGCAAACGATTGCCATGATTGGTTACCTTCCAAAAACCTGACCTTCGAAACCTTGCTCTGATTGGCCACTAGAATCCCTCAAATTTGCATATCCAGCACCTCATGATTGGTCCAAAAGCAACCAATCACAGCCCACCGTTTACAACCAATCACGGCCCACTGTTTACAACCCACCAGAGTGTATATAACCACGATGCCTGGCCCACAGTACCCAGAAGACGACGACGACCAGGAAGACAACAACTGAAGAGACTGAAGAGCTGAAACACCGCGCAGTCTCCAGACAACTTGGGAGACCCTGAAGAGCTGTGAAACCGCGTCGTCTCCGTGCTGCTCACAGTAGACAACGCGACACTGCGTCTTCTCTGTGCTGTACCGTGCTGCCCACAATAAACGGACGACACTGTCTCGGTGTTGTAACACTACGCCACTTGTCCCGGTTCTCACTCCTTCACTCAGGAAACCTGTTTGGCTGTCCCCCCGGGTCGGGACACTATTCTAGTCCTCTGACTTGGATTACCTGTGTGGCTCTGGTGGAAGTCTCACTCCTGGGGCCTCCAGCACCACTTCAGGGAGCTACGGGGAAGGGGGCGGTGTTGACTGGGGCTACCAGTGGTGAGTGCGCCTCCCACCCCGTCACCTCATGAGGGACTCCAGTCCCCCGCAGCCCCATCAGGGAGAGGAGGGAGGAGGCCCAGCAGGCACCGTCAGCACCCTTGTCATTCCCCTGGCTCCACTGCCCACCGGCCACTGCCCAGACTAGCCTACCATGAGGCTGCCCTCCCACAGCCGCTGGGCAGGCTGTATCCCAGGAGCTGTCCTGTCGTGGGGCCCATGGGATCCTCGCCTGCCAGAGCACAGAGCATCAGCAGCCTTCCCCGGCTGGGAACCCAGGAGACCTCAGACAACACCTTCTGCTTAGAGGAACTCACCATTGCCTGCATGTGGAGCTGATGTGTGGCTTCTGTGAGAGGACCCCGAGCTTCACCTGCTGGGACCAGTGGGATGTACCTTGGCTTCCCTCCCTAGATGCATTTCAAGAACCTTCCTTCTAGCTCAGGGACCCCAAAACAGGCCTCCCCAAAGCCTAACCTGTGCAATCTGCTGAAACGCTCTAATTCACTAATTCACAAGCTCCCCTAAATGTGCAAGTTACAGCCTCAGACTTCATTCTCCCATCTTTGTGTGTCTTCATGTCATTTCTACCGAGTCCCAGAATCCCCAAGCCCCTTGTGTCCCTCAGGATAATCTCCATCACCCACCACCTACATTATCATCTCCTCCCAGGAGTCCCAAAACCCTCCCGCTGGAGACTGAGACCTTGCCTTTGCTGCTATTGACAAGTTGGACCTCTTCTGCTTGCAAATCTTCTCCAAGGTAAGGGAGGAGGAATGCCCACTTTCTTGAGCCCTGTCTCCTGTCCCCTTGGTATCTTGGTGACTTTTACTGTCTCTCAAGGCCACCTCCTGCCTCTTGGCCTCCAGCTGCTTGCTGAGGGGTCACTGCACACACTTCTGCTTCGCATGGCAGGGAACCCAGCTGGCACGAGTCAGGATGGGAAGGCTGGCTGCGGAATCAGCCCACGACACAACCAGCAAGGAGAGATGCGATCACAGCTCCCCACCCACCCCTGAATTCTAGCTGGACCAGCAGAGGTCACCAGCACAAGCAGAACTTCTTGAGGGGAGCAGCAGGCACTAGAAACCAAGAAAGCAAGACGGAGCTCTGCTCTCAAAGGGTTGAGGGCTCGGTCCACCAGGGACATGACAACGCACCAAATCCTTGCAGGTGGCCGGTTCTGACTGAGGGGCTCTTTCTGGAGCAGGTGAATGATTTTTTTTTTTGGGGGGGAGGCAGAGTACAAAAACATTTTGGGGGCCAAAATACAAAGTCAAAAGTGTACAAAAGAATATACAGAGGGACCAGCAGTTAGCGTAATGGCCGTGTGGGATCCAGCTGCCTTAACTCCCAATACTTCTATAAGGTACCCTGAGCGCAGGCCCCATTTCTACTTATATAAGTACCTACAAGGGCACAGAGATAGGAAGTAAAATGGGGATGACTCCTGCTGGAGGAGATGGGGGAGAACGGGGAGATAGCACTTAATGGAGGGAACCAGCAGTTAGCATAATGGCTATGTCGCTGGATTCTCACGTAGTCGACCGCGGTTCGCGTCCCGGACCCGGTGGCTTAAACTCACACTGGGCATGTGTGTGTGCATACCCAAGATCCCAAGAGGAGAATGGAGGAGAAGGGACTGCGGTGTGAACATCCCCCCTGGGGGGTGATTTCTCACTTTCTGTCTCTCTGTCTCTCTCTGTCTGTCTGGCGAGCACACGCGCCCTATAGCGGAAAAAAAAAAAAAACCAACTCTCCAAAAAAAAAAAAAAAGCACTTAATGGAGACAGAGTTTTAGTACAGAAAACTGAAAATAACTATGAAGGATAGTGGTGATGGTTGCAAAACATCATAAATGTATTTAGCGCCACCTAATTGTGTACTTAAAGATGGTTAAAATGGTAAAATTGATGTAATGTGCGTTGACCACAATAACAAATATGTATGTTCAATGCCTTTTGAAAATCTTTAGATTTATTGCTAATGCCATCATTGAAGGGGATGGAGGCCATTTCTATAAAATTACAGATGCAGTTAGCATAATGGCTATGTCGCTGAACTCCCATGTAGTTGACTGTGGTTCGAGTTCCAGACCCAGTGGCTTAAACTCACGCTGGGTGCGTGTGCGTGCATGCCCAAGATCCAGAGAGGAGAATGGAGGAGAAGGGATTGCAGCGTGGCCATCCCCCCTGGGGGGGTGATTTCTTGCTTTCTCTCTCTCTGTCTCTGTCTGTCTGGCGAGCACACGCACCCTACAGCAAAAACAAAACAAAACAAAACAAAACAAAAAAACCTCTCCAATAAATAAATAAATAAATAAAATTACAGATGCACTTATTTTTTAAACAGCTGCAACTTTTAATTTTTAATTTGACCAAAGAGAGACAGAGAAAGAGAGAGAGAGAAAGATTCTGGGACCAGGACTCAAACCATGGTTGGACATGTGGGAGGGAGTCCAGCGCCCTTAACCACCATGCCACATGCTGGTCCCTACAGATGCACTTATTAATTGATCCAGGCATATCCTACAAATGCTCCTGCTCACTTATGTTTATATCAGTAACCTAAAAAGAAGTCCGGGACAAAATAAAAGTTGAATTAGGCCAATGTTGGGACTATCACCCTGTGGTCACAAAATCCAAGTGGCCCTGAGTAAACGTGTAACCAGATTTCAGGATGACTATAAGAGCAAAAATAGGAAAATGGAGAGGGGTGTGTGAGGAGTCTTGGACAGCAGCAACTGGCTAAGTTCCATAAGGGGAATAAGAGGACATCTCGGTCATCTGTGGGCTGTTAAGTCAAGTGTGGAGATGATGAGTCTCGAAGGTAAAGGAGAAATGTATTTGGACAGCAAAGACGTTCATAAAACATCTAGATAGCTTCTCAAGCTATTTCAGGTGCATATTTCTGAGAAAGCCACTAGATGCCCATACATTTAATTAATTAATTTATTTATTGGAGAGGTTTTTGCTATAGGGTGCATGTACTCACCAGAAAGACAGAGAGACAGAGAGACAGAAAGTGAGAAATCACCCCCCAGGGGGGATGGCCACGCTGCAATCCCTTCTCCATTCTCCTCTCGGGATCCTGGGCATGCACGCACATGCGCCCAGCATGAGTTTAAGCCACTGGGTCTGGGACTAGAACCACGTCGACTACATAAGAGTCCAGCAACATAGTCATGATGCCATCTGCTGGTCCCCATACATTTTATTTCTTATAGCATTGATTCAGATAGACTGAAATAGCCCATTTTCAGGAAAAAATAAAACAGTGCATTGGGGAGACTATTGATTTCCTTGTAGTTTCATTTTG